AGTAGTATTGAACATTTTATTACATGCACTAAGTCCTTCCATTAGTAGTATTGGATAAAGTTAAGCACAAACGTCGCATTACGTAAACTGTTGACATTCGTTGACAATATTATAACTTAAAACCATGGTCGAGATATTAGGAAATGAATTTTCTGTCGTTTATTGTAAAATTTTTCGAACAATAATAAAATGAGCACATGTAACCTTTACATGCGGTTGAAGTAAAGCTACAAAATAATATCTTTAAAATAATTGACGATAATTTTATGTATTAACTAATAATAAATTATTATTATTTTTATATTTTAAATGTATAGTTCAGATACATACATACAGCACAAGTATTTAAAATCGGATGCTATATAAACGCGTTACCGCCGTAACGCATATCCCTTGCATTGTCGTCGTCCAAAGCATTCAGTTGTATTAAGTTATTCAGTTTTACGTAAAAAATATTTTGTTTCTCTCGTTTATTCTTCATACTTGCCCTTTATAAATATTTTTTTTGGATACTATAAATAAAAGCTGACAATTTTTCAACTTTTCAACAACTTAATTCTACAGAATGTCTACAAACTATCAGGATGTGCAATAATCATCAATGTAATTATGACATCATATAGTACATACAACATTTAAGTCTGTACCGCACACGAAATAATATATCACTAAATAAAAAGTTCAGTAGACATAGAGGTAATGGAAATTTGTAAATATAACGACTTTGTGCCCCATTGGAAAGGAATTCAGATTGATGAACAAAGGTTTAGAAGATCCCTTTTTAGCAGACATCGTTCTGAGCGAAATGCTAATTGACTTTAGATTACGAGTGCCTTTGCTTCCCGACGCTCTATCGGGCGTGACCTTATAAGAGGGCCTTTGATTTTGGCCACGGTACGTTACGTACATTGGTTAAGTCGAATCGATCGATGCTGACTATTAATTATGTTTGTAAACCGCAGCCTTTACTTTTCTTTTATCTTTCAATACTTAATGGCATGAAAATAATATAACAGATTTCGTAGCGTTCAAATCAAATTGAATATCTGTACTCTTCTTGTTCTTATTATTATTGTGCCGAGACGTGGGAAGAATATAATTTAATCGAAATACAATAGAACGTAAAACTGCCCAATGCTACATTCATCTGTTATCACGTTTTTCATTCCCAACACAACACAGCATTTATAAGAATTTTGTTTATAATTAATATGTACCTAATTCAATAGATGATTTAGTTAGCGGTTTTTTGTGCGAGTGAATATTAATGTTCCAGTTTTGTAATTAACACAGATGTCACTAGCGGCGCAAATGAGTTTGCGCGGTCGACGTCAGGCTTAAATTAAATTTTAGGGCTCCGCAAAATTAATTACAGTAAAAGCATCCGTGGCACAGAGCACCGGAGGCCGCCGGGCACGGCCTCTGCCTACATTTTGCTCGGGCATTATTGTGATACCAAAACCATATTCGGCTCAAAGCACGTTAATGCCTCCTGGTGTGGAGGGAAGGTCAATGGAAAATGGTAAACATTACTTGCATGCGCTTCCAAGTACAGTAATTGTAACGTACGTTCACAATAAAAAGAATGCGAGAGAAACATGATGTTACGAATATAATTGCGAATCGCAAAGAACTGCAGTCGAGGTTAAATAAAATTTTTCTGCGCAAAGTTTCTCTTTGGTATTTCGTTGAAATATAATACACACAGAGCAATTAGCCGATACCGTGGTAAATAGAGGAAATTGCAATAATTTCTGCACTCATATTATAGATTCATCGAAGTTATTTAACAGTTGTCGAGTAGCACTTGCTGCTAAGCGTTGTTCTGAATAGGATTCGAATATAGGTCACGTAGGCAAGTACTCAAATCTCTAGGTCAGTCGGTCTTTAAGCTGTGTTCATTAGTTTGTTTTTTTATTTGGTTTTTCTTTTATGTATTTCTTTCCCCTTTTTAATTACTATACAGATTGAATCGGATTCATTTTAATTTTCACCTTATGAATCATCAAATGAAGGTGGAACCTTTTTCGTTGCTAACACATTCTCTCGGAGTGATGGTAAATTAAATTCAGCGCAGCATCCGCACCAACGTACTCCATCAGTCGTCAGGTGATGCGTGAATGCTGTTTGAAACGCTCTTCATTACTCGCCCTTCGCACTGGGGTCTCTAAAAGTTAATAGTAACGAAGCAATGTATGGGCCGCTGGCGACAAAGCTACTTGTAAAATGGGAATGCGGCATTGTCGTTTTTAGGTTTTTTACTAATGGCACCGCTGATGATGCTCAGGCACTTGTCAATCGTACTCCATAGGTGAGTTGATGTTGGTCATTTCACGTAATATCTTTTTAATAGCTTTTAACAGTTTTTATTTCGAGTTTGAGAGTACATACAATCTCTGAACCTTGACTTAAATCGTCTCAGTAGGTATCTTATCGGAATTTTATGCAATCGTATGTATATCTTTATATGTACGAATATTTTTTATGCATGCAAAAGTGCGTCTTCCTCTCACAATCCATCGCCCTTGATTGAATCGCAGAACGTTGCGACTATTAAGCCCCTTAGTTACTTTTAGGCAAGTGCAGTAAAGAACCACAGGTTCAGACCGTAAGTTTGAATCAAACTTTTAATGATACAAATTGGTTAGCAAAAGGCATAACTTAGAGCAACCTAAGACATTATGAAAATATTAAAATCGTAAGAATAAAAGAGATGATAATTTAAAAGAGATGACAATTATTAAATTATCTATTGAGCTAAAACTGGAAGACATAAAAATAATAATATCACCATATGAGTTCATGACTTTATCAGTATTTAAAAAAGTAAAGTAACAGCCTATTCATGTCCCACTACTGAGCAAAGGCCTCCTCTATACAGAGGGTATCAGGGCATAGTCCACCACGCGGCCCCACTGCGGATATATACATAAAAAAAATGTTATGCGGTAAATGTATGCATGGTTCGTATTATTTGTTTTTATTTATAAGGTGAGTTAAGGTTAATCATAGTTAAGTGAAGCTGGCGCCAATTACTTGATTTAATATAGTCCCACGCAGATAACGTGTTGCTGAAATGGTCTAGGTGACATCATCCCGGCCACAAAAATTGCATAGAAGTTGTTCTCTACTAAAATCTGTACAAAATATCAAAGTAAAGTGTTTCATAGTCAAATTCTCGCCCCGTCTAATGAATCCCTTCCATTTCTAAAGTAACGTAATAGTTTATTAATTTGTTTTTAAATGTAATGTCAATGAACCAAACATTCTTCGGATTAAGAAACTTCTTAAGAAATACCTCCATAATAAAATGTATTCTCCGAAATCGCTGTTAACGACATTCGATACGCGCCAGTAATGGTTAGCGCGCGTGTTCGCACGTCTTGTGCGGTAACAATTTAATGTGATCGCTATTATATATAAAAACCGGCCAAGTGCGAGTCGGGCTCGCGCACGATGGGACCCGTACCTTCATGTATAAAAACGGCAAAAAAAAAATCATGTTTATGGTATGGGAGCCCCACTTAAATATTTTTTTATTCTGTTTTTTAGTGTTTGTTGTTATAGCGGCAACAGAAATACATCATCTGTGCAAACTTCAACTGTCTAATATCACGGTTATTTTATTTATTTATTTAAAAATTTATTGTTTACACATCACGGTGGTAGGGCCTCGCAGCAGCCTCGGCTGTTACACGAATGGGCAGGCTCGTCCGGGTAAGTACCACGACCTCATGGAAGACCAGCGTAAAGTGGAAGTATAATACTTTCGCGTTTCGTCTGGTGAGTGAGGTGGGCGGAGCCCAATTTTCAAAAGGTTGTCAACGCATGTGGTACCCTCGGGTGTAGGAGATGTCCATGGGCGGCAGTATTCACTTAACATCAGCTGAACCGTCTGCTCGCTTTGGAAACTTTTCACATAAAAAAAACATCAACTTAACGCTAAACAAAGGGCAAACTTAATGCTAATAAGCATTCTCTTCCCGTCAACCCTGAGAGTAAAGAAAATTCATTCGGTTCATGAGATACAGCCTGGCGCCAGACGGACAAAGGTCCCATTTTACCCTTTGGGTACCAGTAGAATTTTACCCTTTGGGTACCAGTAGAATTTTACCCTTTGGGTACCAGTAGGTACCAGTACCTAGTAGAATTTTGGCAGACGTACAAATCTCAAGCAGGAATACCGTGCGAAATTTTCGCAGAGCATCGTGGTCAGTCCTCGAATGGTAATAAAATAATGTGCAAATAAGTATTTATCACAAAAAGGAACCTTATTTTGAAGAATGATGACTGAGTTCAGCCTCCTTCGCTATCTTTCATTTAAAGAAGCTGGTATTATCATTCGTTCTTAATAAGAAGTATTTAAAAAAAGTTATTTCATTAAAGCATTTACTTAATCCCATTTGTCTATTTTTAGTTAATACCTGCAAATATAAGCTTTGAAATGATGTTTGAATCATTTAATCTGAAGAAGAATTGTGGAAATTACGACGGTCCGACAAAAAACCTTTGAGAAATGATATATAATCTCAGACCAATAAAAAAGTATTTTTTATTGGTCTGAGATATAGATGTTATATAAAAAAATAAAAATAATGTAACGTCACTAATTAATTCAGACCTAGATCCCAAAATAGAAGCACTGCTTACTTTGGGGTCCATTTTTGTTTTGATATAAGTTACATTAAAACATGTAGAAAAAGTACGAAACGAAGAAAGTACTGAGCCGCTTAGCTCAGTGGCTAGAGCGTCAGGCCGCGAATGGTTGCCGCGTGGGTTCGATTCCCACAGCGGCGACAATCTTTTCGTACTTTTTCTACATGTTTTAATGTTCAATCTTAAGTGCAGAGATTAGCACTATAAAAAACTTTAAAATTTATAAGTTACATTGTTTTTTTTAATTCTAATCTTTATTACTAAACGCTTTACTCATGTTTCGGAACTTATGTCTCTTTCTTCGTAAATAACTAAATTAAATGAGAATGAACTCTGTTTTTCAGACTGGTGGTGTCGCAGAATCAACGCGCTCTCCACATTGTGTTCCCTCATCACTTTCTAGATTCGCCAGAGTGGTTCGGTGTCTCCACTGATGAATATTTTCAGGTAACTTAAAAAAACTACATATTAAACGTAAAAAATTACTACATATTACGTAACAGCTGGCTCGGGCGGGCGGCAGGATCTGCGTCGTTGTATTCACTTATTCCGTACATATCAAACGTTTTTTTCTTAAATGAGAAGGTGGCAAACTAGCTGGCGGTTCACCTGAAGTTAAGTGATAACCATCGTCCATTGAAATTTGAAACTCTCGCAGGATTGCAGATGCGTTGACGTTGCGATACGTCGCAGGGTTGCACTTACCAGACGAAACGCGAATGTTTAATACATCCTCTTCACACCGGTCTTCTGTGAGGATGGTTACTGACCCGGACCAACCGGCCCATTTGTACGACAGCAGAAGCTGTGTGAAGATATCACAATAAGTAATATACCATTATTGAAATAAAATCATGTCACGGTAAAGAATCGAGAAATGTTTTTCCTGAAAGAAAGTACGCAATACCATAATTTCACTACGATTGGGTCATATGCTTAGACACGTTATTACTGTACTGATCTCTTATTAGATTCAAACAAATTCGACCTGAATACTACATAACTAAAGTATAATCTCGTTTTGAAGCACTCGAGGTCAAAATTTTAAGCCATAAAATCCTTTGACAATATTGTATTCAACATTATACGTCTATAAGCAAGTTAGTGACATTAAAGTATGCAATATCTTTAAGAATAAAACTTTGTGAAAAACATTGTATATCGGTTTTTCAGGTTATTTTAATATCTCAAAATAACTGATTTATTAGATTTATTAGATTAGACCTTTGTTGTTGTGGTAGCAACAGATGTTAATAATCAAATTGAAAAAAGATGGCTCCAAATTCCGCCCAGCGTGTAAGTTTTAATGTATGTGAATAGTAATCGAACGCAAAACGATATTTTTCATTTCACACGTTGATGTATTTTTACAGTATCCGTCTTTCTAGATGTTTAAAAAGATGCCTCTATCTCACTAAGGCAAAACTAAACTAATAAAGTAGTTTTTAAGAAAAAATAGAATGTCCTGACTGATCTAACCGGCCGGACAAACCTATATAATATTCAAGTTTTAGAAATCATAAAATGGTTTTTATTCTGCCGTGTCATCAATTAATGTAAATTCTTCCTTTTCTCGGGTCAAAGAGTCCGTGTTTTGCTCTAATTTCCAGGTCTCCATAATGGCGATGGAGGAGTCCCGGGTGCTGGTGTGGCACCGGGACAAGCTCAAGCTGTCCATCATGTCCGATGGGTTCCTGCAGGCAGTCTTCGACCACATACTTGGCCGCGACGTCGTTCACAAGCTTATGCAGGTGCGCAGAAATTTAAAAACATAGGCAGCAACCAACACGCGAGGATAATTTTAGTAGCATGTTATAAGCGCAGACATAACTTTGATTAAACAATGGGAAGCCTCGTAAAGCTTTGAAAAATACAAATATGATTTCGGTTTGCCTGGGTTGGGTATATATATTACCATTAACACTTCACTTTTGTAAGGCATATGATGCAGATTTTTTCCAATTTTTGGCCGCACTATCCATCCACCATCTACTCGTTGCTTCTGCAGGCGTTATTATAACTATTTTATGAGATATGTCGCTATAGTAAACCCGTATCGACTAAAGGCCGGTTTCTATATTTTGTCTGACAATAGCAATAGGTATTTGACATTAGCTCCGTAATACGTATGTCAAAATTCTATCTCCCGTAACCAAATCTACAGATAGATTGAATATATTGAAACATAAATCGGTAAGATGTCGCGGTGAACATCTCTGTGGTAGTAGGTAGGGCCACGGCAGAAATTCGTGAAACGAATGTATTGTACGTTCCCGTGGGGCACATTTTTTTAAATGTTGCCAAAGCATCTGCGAGTCTTCAGCAACTGTTTAATATCAATGGTCCACTTTCTCATAAGAAAAATGTAGCCGGGGCAGTGTCATCGTCACCCGCCGTGTCGGTTCCAGGTGAGCGAAACAATGGCGGTGAGCAACGGCCACCTGGCCAACAGCTATGAGGAGGGTGAGGACAAGCCGATGCTGGTGGTGAAGAAGGCGGGCGACGGACCGGGGATCACGGCGCTGCTCAACCGCCAGCTGCAGGGTAAGCGATTGGCTTTAGTAACGCCCCCAAACGATTTCATTGGGACCGTGGCGATTGGCTTCAGTAACGCTCCCACATTTTGCCGGGATTTTGTCTGTTGTCATCGGGGGAGGTTAGTTGGAGTAGTTCTAGATCCTGCTCCTGTCTATTAGCGTAGATGAGACCGAAACAGGCTGGCTAGGTAATGGTAATAACACTAGCAAAAACTGTATGTGGTATGTACCCATATGTACATTACATAATTATGTACTGTGTAGGGCTCAATTGACGTCCGAACTAAGCCTAACACAGAAATATTATAATACGTTCAAATCGCGCAAGATTTGCAATTTTCATTGGGAACTATTTTGAACGACTTGCGTCTTTGCTTATTAATTATTAATAAGTGTATTTACAAATCAATAATTTTTTGATTTTAACTATTGATTCGGAGAAATGTGCAAAGTTTAATAACGCAACTACACAGTGCAATTATTTAATTGCATTTTGTTCAGTTTTTGTTTAATTTTTTTGATGGCTCGGAGAAATCGTCCCATTCAAGGTAAAATTAAACATTATTTTATAGCAGGTCGCGGTTTTGTAAAACAATTTAATTGTTAATTTTAAAGGCAATAATATTGAAATGGCTGAAAAAAGTTCTAAATCGTTGGTCCCCTATTCGCTGTATGATCTGGGTTCAAGTTTCTAATGATTTTGCCACTATGTCTATTTTGGGCCTTATTACTTAACTCGTACGTAATACAATGTACCTGGGTAAAGATTTTAAATCAATCACTTGGTAGGCATAAAACATGTTGTCTGCTGATTGGTGCATGCAATTTATTTCATTAAACGCGTATTAACTCGTTTATGAATACACTTATAGAGTTATAAATGCGATTGCCGATACGAAGTGCTTATTATTTTCTTTAAGGGAATGCCTAGATTTGACGAATCGTGCATGTTAATAGCCATTTAACTGCCAGATATGTTTTGATTATCGCTTTGGTTGAATAGTTACAATACTGTACTATTTGTATGCGGTAGTTGCCCATGAGTACGCTTTTTGTGAGTTAAAAAATAAATTAACATCGGTTAAATGAGTAGTTTTGTTTTGAAATTAAAATCATTTTATGATCGGTGTGTATCTCATTTATTGTACTAACCTTAGGAAAATGTAATTGAGTTTTAGTAGTTTAATGAGATAGTTGTGGTTTGAGATGTATGTAGAATCTACTAACCGTTTGTATTTTTATTAAGTTAACGTTATTTTGATGTTTACGTTATTGCGACATGGTATTTGTTGACTGTAAGCGGTTAGATTGACAAAAGCTAAACTCATAACGACATAACTTAAATTAAACTAATAACTTTCCATTGGTTTAAATTTAAAATAAACAGCCGAAAACACTATACGCTTTTTACATTTATATCTTTTTGTTTATTTTTAATTTTCTATGGAAGTTCACATACATTTGGATCGAGATGATTTTTTTTCATATCTAACCGCTTGTAGCAAATTTTGATAAATTATCAGTACGTTTCCGATAGTTCCGTCTATAATATGTATCTACTTCAAATTCATTGGTGCCAATTAAATAAAATATTTTCTTCCTTTTATCATATTTTTAATATTGTTTCCAAATAATTAATTGGCTTCTATCGAGATCGGAACGATCGAACGTCCTGATATTTAAAAACATTATTACATTCGGTCGCGCAACATTTTTCAATTCGCTTTGTTTTCAACAACAAAAAAAACCCCACACGAGGTGTTTCTTGAATACGGAAAAGCAAAACCGTAAAAGACGAATAAAGTAAACGCGAGGCGTGGATATGTTGCGCGTCCGCCGGCGATACCGTGCCGATACCGTGCCGATGCTGACGACGCGTCGCCCGTGGCCCGTGCAGGCGAACACGCGCCGCTGCTGCTCGCCGCGCCCGCCACGCGCCTGTGCTGAACGCCAACGCCGAGCGCGTGCTACCCCTGCTCTCACCCCCACACCCCACATCCCCACATCCCCACATCCCCACTTCCCCCCCCACCCACACGACTTGACCTCCGTCTCGTACTACAACAACAACTTTCTCCCGCGTAACGAACGTTCGACAAGTTTTCATCACTAACAATGTATTATATCCTACATATAAACATTTATCTGTTTCTTGTGATATTAGTGTGCACTTCACTTATCCGTCTGTAAATAGTAGCAAATATAGGCACGCAGAGACTACAGTTAGCGGTTAAGTAACATACAAATAGTTTATTTGCCAAGTGCTCGAAACTCCACAAATGAACGTATTTAATCGTAGATAATTCGAAGCTAATTTGGAGTCCCTGAATAAAACTGAAGCCCACTAAGTTGTTCACTGTGCACAAATTGCACACAAACGCTACGCACAGAAATCACCCGAGTCAAAAACAATCAAATTTATTAAAATTAAACCTCCTATGACCCTCATTATCAAACTGTCGCTCGAATTTGAAATATAATCTCTTTATTTAAACTCTATGTTTTATTAATCTAACTACAGTAAGAAATTAGTAAAGTAAAGCGTATATTTCGAATTTAAGTGAACTATTATTTAAAAATTAACCGCACTAAAAGTATTTTATGCCTTAACATAGTATTATATAATAACATACTAACATGTTGACTGTACAAAACAATGTGTCATAATTAAAAGCAATTTTAGCATTAGTTTTATTAGACGTAACTTTGGTTTTTTATCTTTAACCTAATATCTTAAAAAAGAATGAGATAGAGTAAGCAATAATTTTATTAAATGTAAATATGTATTAGTTTTATTTTATACAATTTTAATAGTTTTGTTATTCTCTCTCAACCATGACATATTTTTTTTTACTTAAGAATACAGATTAAAAAATGGTTACCCGTATGCCTTAAGAGTACAAAAATTATCATCAGATCTCTGTGGAACGTTAACTTTTATTTAAAATTAATAATAATGAGCGCAGAAGTCAATCTGCAGTTATGGGGATGATATTGCCTTTGCATTTGGCTGAAGTCTTATTTCCAATGCCACACAAAATAATAAGAAAAGTTTTTCATTAGGATTGTACAATCTACATGGTTTATTTGATTGTCTATATGTATGTATTAAATGTTGTCCTAGTCTATTTGTGCTAAGTATGTATTACTTTTATTTAGTTTATTATTCTGCTTGTGATAGATGATGGATAGGGCAAGACATCACCTATAATTGGTTAATTATTGGAGAAAAGTTTGAAAATTCGCGTAGATGCTTAAAGTGAAATATTAGAAGCTTTTGAATTCTAGTTATAAACACATAAGCAAAAAATAAAAAAAATGTAAAATTTAATCATGGATAATGTCTTGACCTAAACGTAAAATGCTTTAATAAACATAAATATATCTTGTTACCTTCATCCTCAACATATGTATTAGTAATAGAATATACCCAATTATCCTAAAAGCCGCTCCTCTTAGTCCTTTTTTCCCAAAGCATGTTGAAGAGCTACAATTCTCAGGTAATTTTATGTTCATATAATTTGTTTTTTGCTCTAATGCACCTATTGCAACTAGCTTTTGAAATTAAAGCCACAGTTAGCAGTTATAATATTCAATCATCATTTAAAAGAAAATATCTTAAAGCACGGTTAAAGGCTTACTCTTAACTTATTTTAAATTACTTAAAAAGCTGCTTCTAACAGTGTTTGGGAGATTTATTGCCTAGACCTCATGTGATAATTAAGGGCATGTGACATCACATTCCAGAATTTAAAAAGGATGATGAATTAAAATTAATAATTCCATTTTTATGTTTTTCATACATACTAATGCATTTTTATCTATATTAACAAGTGTTAACGTTTAAGCAATTTTGCAGTAATTATTTAGTAAACAATTTTTATTGTGTGTTTCAGTTTAAATTTACAAATCCCATACAAATTGACACATTTAATTATAGATACAAATACAATTAAAACATAGCATCACATGAGATAAGTTTTTTTATTGGATTAAGCTCATTCTTTTCAATTATATGTTAATTACTGAATTGCTAGGACATTATTATTTAAATTATAATGCATATGCAATAATTTGCCCTTGCGAGCAGCTATATATAGGTATAGTATTTTTGCATTTTGACAAGGTCAAGTTATTCATGAATGGATAAGTGTCAAATTTATAATTTTATTTCGTCATCGCTGAGAAGACTGATATTGTATATTTGTCAGCCTGAAAAGTATTTAAATGTGTGGTGTTTTGATATTAAATGTTAAGAAATATATTCTTAATTTTTCACAAGCAGAGATTTTGGGGATAGAGAATCTTTTCAATTGATACTATTTGTTGTAATTTATTTTACCATATAATAATAATTTTCATTGCACATAATGGGATCGGTTCATAATCATCCTTGAAAAAGGTAAAATTGATGCACTAAACAGTAACAGTATGCTTTATTACTAGTAAAACTTTCTCTGGTCAACAATTATGTTGTTTCGGATCTGGATGTTCGTCCACGTGAAATTCGCGTATGTAGAACATCCTTACAGCACCTTATAATGTAATCCTACAGTAAGGGGACAATGTTTTCGAAGGGAAGACTACAACTGGTAGGGCCACGCAGCAGCCTCGGCTGTTGCACGAATGGGTAGGCCCGTCCGGGTAAGTACCACGACCTCACAGAAGACCGGCGTAAAGTGGAAGTATGACAAATACTTTTGCGTTTCGTCTGGTGAGTGAGGTAGCCGGAGCCCAATTTTCAAAAGGTTGTCAACGCATCTGTAACCCTCGAGTGTAGCAGATGTCCATGGGCGGCGGTATTCACTTAACATCAGGTGAACCGTCTGCTCGTTTGACAACTTTTAGCATAAAAAAAAAAAAAAAAAAAAAAAAAAACAGATCTCGTAGGTCGGAGCGGTCGTTGGGTCTTACATCAACCCGTTCCGCACGAAATACAATACAAGCGAGTTCGTTTGGGCACAGCGAGCGACCCGAACGCGTGGCGCCTCGGCCGCATCGAGGAGGCAGACCACGAGACGCCGGTGTGAGGGCGCGCCCCCGCCCCGCCGCCCCCACCGCCCCCGCCGCCCCCACCGCCCGACAACCTCCTGAGCGCCGAACAGGGCATCTCTCTCGGCGCTCGGCTCGAACCGACATTCGACACGCAACAACTGCGACACCCGACGTTGGATCGCGTCAACGATGGAGCACAAGAAACCAAACGTTTATTTTCTATTCGTTTATAGCGCAGCGATCGAATTATTTTTTGATGTTTATCCTTTCGACGCACAACGTGTTCGGTGTTATGACATTTGAATGTGGCCACGGCTGTGACAGAATCGATGAGCGTTCGTAAAGCGCGTTGCGAAAAGGAAATGTGTTCGAACGAGGAAACGGAACGGTAACGAAATAAGTAGGAAGGCATGATCTAAAATGTGAATTAGTGTAAACGGAAACCTGATGCATAATAATTGTAACAGTAAACAATGTATTTTTGTCATCGATATATACAGCTGATCGATTCTGATCTAATCGATCCAGCTTTTCATGAATCGCTTCATGTTTGCCTGCATTCGGAAATAAACAAGTGTAGATAAGAGGCTGCAATACGACCTATTCTTTGGATGTAAATATCTAGAAGGGTTAAGAAGCATTATTTTGTGTATACATTTTATGTAGATAGAGAGAAATTATTAATGAATCTAAATAATTAACACGCAATGAGACTTAGGGGAACTGCCGCATAGTCATGTGATCGAAATATCTTACTTTTTTATATATAATCAAAAATTAAATTAATATCGCTGCAATATATGTTTATAACGTTTCAGAATAAATATTTTTTTTCACCTCACGTGTTCTTACCGCCATTTTTATTCTTATTAAATTAAATTAAGTATATTTATTCGTTATCATAATAAAATATGATTTTACTTAAATGAGCACAAATTTGTGTCTGATATTAATTTAATACTTCGACTGGTTACAGTTCCCATAGTAAAAATATTTGAGACATCACATTTTTAATAACTTTTGTGTAAATACAGATAGAAAGTACGAAAAGTATGCTACAAACGAAAACGTATAGTCGTATATGTACAAAATATGAAAAAAAGTATTATGTAGTAGACCGTCGTTAATTATGTGCATGCCATGCCGTGCATGGTAATGCAACGGTTATATAATTGTGCAATTTAGCCAATACGTACAGGTTAACGTAAATTTTTTAAGGAATCGTGACTATAATAATCACGAAGTGCTCTGTTCGTATAGATTTAAAATTATCGTGCAATGTCCTCGACGAAAGGCGTTGTGATATAAATTAAAATTCACACTTGATCAATAGCTAACATGATATTGTGACCGAACAAATGGAATTAAACTTAATTCAGGTTAAACACGTTTTACTTTTGTTATCTTTGCAATGTTCTAGTGTCTTTTTTTTATTAAAAACTTACTTTACTTACATACAGATTTTTCATCCGTAGATTGTTAAAGCACCATCGAACACAAGACTCGTCGGTTAGCCAGACCCACGAACTTGATAAAATGTTTTTTATTGGTCTGACTGAGACCTTAATAAGTTACGGCCCTCCGCGTTGATAAGGGTCGTAAAATTTAAGGTTCACATACGAATTATCTCCAATATTTTAACATTCCATATTAATTTTTCTTAATCATTGTAGTAAATTACCCAAGAGTAAGCATAAAACTGTTTAAAAGTTGAAGATCAAGTTAAAAAAATTATCTCTCGGCAATCCAATTGTTGTAAACAGTTACACATTAACTTTTTATGCTTCGTCTGTGGAGAATTTTTGTGTGAAAATACTTTTATTTTCTGCATGATAAAAAAATATATTTCTTAGCCCTTTTTGTCTGCATCATATAGCTGAGTAAATCAGTGAATAGATCAAAATGATTTCATTATACTTCAGGGTAATAAATTGTCGGCAAAAACTTGCTTGCGTCAATGTACACTTAGGAAACAGTACAAGTAAATCAATTCGATCTAACTTCACGCTTCGAGATTTTGGCAACATTAATCTTTTTTATTGAGAAAACGGATGACAGCATTGATTTCTGAAGTAGTGTTGTTATAATATAACGCAATGAGGAACAAATTGCGAGAACTTTTTGCGCAAAATGGTTAAAAATATTTGGTAACATAAGCCAATTGGAAATTGAACAAACAATCCTATTAACTTTTTTTCAAAACATCATAATACGAGATATTCTTCTTTAAACTAACCATGATTCATACCTTATATATAATATGAGTCAGAGTTCTAAATTAGAAACTACAAAGTCCTTACCTTGCTTTTATAAGTTCTATTATTTATATTTTTAACAGTCAATTGACATTTCAAACCAACAACTACAGAGTACAGAGTTGAAACTTAACACCTAACTTAACTTGTGAACATAGTCTTATCGCACTTCTTTTACTGCGTTTGGAGAAAATTGTGAGTAAAATTTTTACAAAAAAATTTTTCATAATTGACTGTTAAAAATATTTAAATAGATGAACATTATTGGTATAAAAGCCGTACCTAACTAATATTGAGAATAGAATTATCGCAAATGCACTGCCAATGCATATATTATGTAACTGATATATATGTATGAATGATACAATAACTTGTTATCCTTACATCTCTGCTGGTTTTTAATTGTGTTTACTAAGATGCAAGAACTGTAACAATTAAATTTGTCTTGTTCCTTCTGATTAAAATCCAAAGATGTAGAAATAATTATAATATAAATGAAAAATAATAGATGTTCAAATTACTATAGTTACCATTTCCCGCCAAAATTGTTTCAACAAGCAGACAAAAGTGAAGAGGACAAACTTAATTGTTCACAGGGATCAATTTGCCTACAATTGAAGTGGCTGCTGGCAGGTGATCATAAGTTGTACTCAAATACTATGATGGTATAAGACTATGTCAAGGATTCTCTTGCCAAATTTTGGTTTTCACTGCTTCTGTCAAATATCACCTTTAGATTGCCTTAACAAATTGCCATTTATGGTGAGTGTAAATTATAATTATATGATTGATTGTAAACTGAATCATTGTAGTACATGTTGAGATGGATAGAAATAAAAGAAATAAAGGTAACAATTTGTGTAATCACTTGGTTTTATTTGGTGCGTTACTTGGAGACCAGTTAATAAATGATAATTTTTAAATTTAGAATGTGGCAAATATACAAAAACTTTTAAACACCACATCATGAATCATCAAAAGTCATCCGGCCAACTCCATGCTGTTTTATATACCTTCGGTATTGCTTGTATTTGTTATTTTCTGCAAGAGCTTTTTTAGCCTCTTCATCCTTTATTTCCTTCCAAATCAAAAAGTTTTCTTTGATCCACAACTCATCATCTAAAAATTCTTGTTTTTCCTTATCATCTAAGGCATTAAATTGGTGTTGACCCAATTTCATAAACTTTCTAATTATGTATAACTTTTCTTCTTCTCCATATGGTTGCTTTCGTATTGTAAACTTCCAAAACCACCTTAAGTACCAGTAAATATAATAAGCAACTGTATATGGTAAGATTATAAGCTGGATCCATAAAATATCTACAATTTCAGGTTTTGCATAAGCACCTTTAATATCTAAGTTTTCTTCTATGACCCTTCTTATAATTCTATCCTGTTCTACCTTTTGTTCCGCTTTACTTTTTCTATTAGCTCTGCCTTTGCCCTGAGATTCCTTGGTTTCAGCTTTGGCAATTTCCAAAGCCCTATTTCTATACTTTGGTACAGTCATGAAGTATTTAATTGCGGTGTCGTATTTTGACCATGCACCGTAGTACTGAATAATAGATATTACAGATATAGTTACTGCAATTACAATTCTCACATCAACTTTTGGAGCCATTCGACGTCTGTAGTAACGATAGTAGTGAGCGTAATACTCCTGAGGATTGTCCAACATGTAGTCGTAGTCTGATCTTTCCTCATCGTCTCTTAATATTTCGTATGCAGTGGCGATCTGCTTAAACTTTTCCTCCGCTTCTTTTTTAGCCTCTGCTGATCGGTGTAAGTCCGGATGGAACTTCTTAGCCAACTGTCTGTAACTTCTGCCGATTTCATTTTTTGTAGCTTCCCTGCTAACTCCTAGGACTTCGTAACAATTCTCCTTTCCGCAGTAAATGCCTTCGAGAAGATGATCAGCGGAATGCACTGAGACCACAAGACATATTAGTGGGAAAAATATTAATCGTTTGTGATAGAATAACATAATTGATTTAAAACATAATCTATGTGACTAAATGTGTTATTTGTGACGAACGACAATTCAACTGATTATAAAATAAATAATGAACAAAATCTACATCCACATCTCTCTGTCGCGTAATGACAACTAATATGTCAAATTATCAATATCGACGTCAGCTAACTTTTTGATTTGAGATCGGATAGTTCAAACAGCATCTTTTAAAGTAATCTGCTGTTGGAAATAAAAGATTACAAATATAAATAAGGATTATAAATTAAACTACAATACAATACTAAAAGGAAACGAATAAAAACATATTTTATTATTAACTTTTGTATGTCGCGAATTGAATTCAAAAACAGGGCTCATTTGAAGAAGAAAATTAGCAAGTCACCATTTTAATCTAGCGTTGCGGATATCTACAGACCTTTATAAAAGCCTTTGGTTTATTTGCCATCTTTTTTTAAAAAAATACCTACGACATACGGAGTTTTTGCAGCGCTTTTATGACAAGTTTAATAAAAAAACGCAACGTACGAGTACGTAATTAATTAACATTTCATTCTGCGAAAAATTGGATGCCTAATTTTGGCCCATTTGATAATTTAATTTCAGTACTTTCATAATTTTCTTAGGTTTTTAAAAATTATTTTGATTTATTGCATTGACTAATATTCATGATAATAGATGCATTTTATTTTTTAGTCATAACTGTCCCGTTGCCGCCTCTTGAGAGCGGGTGTTCCTCAAAAATCTTTACCTTCTTCCATTACAAAGCATCATGCACATGATGCTTGGTAATCGTATATTATCACATCGTAAAAATTTTACTCATAATTTTCTCCAAACGCAGTAAAAGAAGTGCGATAAGACTATGTTAAGTTGTGTTAAGTTTCAACTCTGTACTCTGTAGTCGTTGGTTTGGTCTTGTCTCTGACCACATTATCTGTCACTCTGTCAGAATAAAAAGAATAATTGTAAATAAATTATTGAAATTAAAATTTAATGTAGATAACGTATAGAGTGTTATGATTCTATTTGTAAAAAGGATTTTTATAAATAATATTACTGTTTCTACAGTTATTTTCAAATAAGTTGGTGATGTTAGAAGATACGCTTAATATATTTACAAAGGAGCTTTGCAGATATCTAACAGGAAATGAGAAAGAAGTTAAGGGAATGTTAATCAAAAAGCATTCTGTTGATCTTCTCAATCTGGGCGAATTTAGCTTTCCTAATACCGTTAAGTCGTGGTATGAATATGTTGATCTAGATCAATCGGAATTGGGAAGCCAAAGTTTACTTAAATGTTTAAGAAAACAAACAAATGACATTGTCGAATCGTCGAAAAGGTGGAAAATACAAGTTAAAAAAGCAGTAGAAAGAAAAGACCGTATACATTTGTACCTTAATCGAATCCATGCTATTAAGGTTGGACTTTCAAGTTCATTATCAAACAACAATTTGTTTATACAAGCATTGAGTAATAATACTTGCTATGCCCACATAGAACCAGATTGTGAAGGACATTGTACAACGTATTTACGACTCAAATGTATGAAGTACGTTATTAACAATTTTATTTCAGTATGTTCAATTTTGAAAGGTTGTGTGCCAGAATTACCAAATATAATCATTACTTCTAAGTCATCAAGTATAAACAGTAGAGCAAGATCAATACTTTGTGGCACTGTATTAAATGTGAGAACCAATATTAAGGAGACGTCTTTGAGTGGAGATGAATTAATAAGGTATATTATTATTGGATTGCAACATTTCAAGTCAGATAATTTTTTTCGTATAGGTTTCTACCATTTTGTTTTTTGTTGTTACATATTATGTGACATAAATATTTTCTAAATTTTATTTAATAAAAATTACTGATGTTAGATTTTTTCTATTTTAATCGTCTACTATTTTTCAAGAGATACTCTGTTCTTTCAGATTACGCCAAAATGAGCTTACACTGATAGCACAACATAAATATGGGGTAAGAGTGTCGACAGACTGCAAATGGAAGGAGTTTATTGCACATTTAGGAGAATCAGCTGTTACATTTGAATTGCTCCAGACTAAGCCAAGTAGTGCTGTCAAAATAAATTTTGATGCATCATCAGGATCTAGTAAAGGTATAGTATTGTATGTAAATATATACGGTTACTAATCTTTTGTTTGTTTATATTATAGGCCTCAGCTTTAATCACTTACTGCATCAAATGAGCTTTTGTTCCTTCCAAAGCATTTTGTTTTTTTTTCTTGCCTTTGATATTTTTGGAAAACTTTTGGATTACTAAATGCTTCAATGAATTGGATTTGTTTTAATAATTAATCCATCAGAAATGTGATGGTTGATAGAAAGCCAAAGCTACATGTTTTACTGTCACCATATTGTTTATTAAAATATGAAAGTTATTTTTTTTTCTTGTACTTTTTTAGGTGCCGCATTCGTCCTATACAACTGTGCTAGATTGGAGACAATAATAAGAACATACAATGAGAGAGTGAATGATGGGACCTATCCCCCATTACCAGATTTCGAAGAGACTGACTTTTCACTATTAATTCAGGAGGTAAATTGATCAGCATTAAGTGGCTAGAAGTTTTTATATGTACTCTAATTTTCTTATATTCATATATTCTTTATATTCTATATAAAGGCAGAAAAAATCATATAAAGATGAAAGTTACAATCAAAAAACTATTTAAATTTAATAATCCTTTAATTCTATGATTTGATTATGGTTTTTAAAACCAAACGCATATATAATTTATAACCCAATATTTTTTGCCTTTCCAGTAGCATGGATTTCCTATACATCAGGGACTTTAGTTGTCTTAATAGTACTTCTCAAATTGAAAAGAATTAACTTTTGATTTGAGCATGTGATCATGCAACAAAGAAATATAGATTGAAGTTGACCCTGAGGTTTTCACATTAGGAAGAGAGCCTTTGGGAACAAACACCCAGATCCAGAACAATAATCTCTGGGTCACACAAATATTTATCCCCATGTAGAAGTCAAATCCATGAGCCTCAATACCGATGGCTTAAAAACCGTGTCAACAAGTCATAGCCTAGTCAAAGCAATACACTGTACTGACACATTTATAAATGTGTCTTATTAATTCATGACAATTATTTCAGGAGGAATGGTGCTTGATATTTAATTACATCCTGGGCCTGCCTTTGTTACTGAAAAGTTGTGTGGAAGTGAATGAGCACACCTTCGAGTTTCGCCCACATCTACTTTGCGGATTTCTGAGTTCTATGGTTAAACTGATCAGTCAATATTACAGGAAGACCAGAGTATTGACGGTGAGCCACAAAATATCATTTTACGATACGTAGCAAATAATAAATAAATCAAGGTGTTATTCAATAAATAAATTTATTTATTTACATGTCAAAATATATTATCCTAGTATGATCTCTATGTATAAAGACATTTCAAATTATGCCTCAACATATTTTAATACCTACTTTACTATATTTTAACTTAATGGGCTCATATAAAATTTGTAGAAAATATTTACATCCTTTTATATGCAAATTTTAGTTTGATCTTAAGTGCGGATATTTTGTACCTATAAAAACTCAAATTTCATAAAAAAATTAAGTATATTATTCAAAGCGTAAATTATAAGACAACCCATTTTCCTTCCTGTCCTATTGGTATTTTATACGAAAGTTGAAGCAAAATATTTCTGGGTTCAGCAATGTTTGTTTATTTTCAGGAACCAAGAAAACATCTGTTGCCTGTCATGTTCGCTCGTCTTCATATGCTGAACATATTAAATGAAACTCTTAAGACTTGTTTACGAATATTGAATATTAAAAGCGTTTCCCAGATGTACAACGCCGTCTTTTATTGCGACCCTAACGACAATACAATTCACAGACAGTAGTTGAGATCGGTGAAAGTTTGCCGATGATAGCTTATCAGTGAATAATGTTTTGTAGTGATAATAAAATTGCTCCTTTTCGTTGGTGCAAAGTTTATCGATCATCAGCGAATGTGGCCATTAATCGTTCGCGTGCGAGCGGCACACGCATCACGCAATGCAAAGGCGCAAGAAGACATCAGGAACACCGTAGCTCCCGCGTTTCGCGCCGCACTAGTGAAGTACGGTACAGTACAAGGAGCGCATTATCGTACGGAAAAAAGTGTTTTGTTTGGAAACAGAGCGTTCACGTGAGCGAGGCGGCGGCGGCGATTGGTCGGCCGAGGCGCGCCCGAGCGGCGCCGACCAATGGCGAGGCGGCCGAGGCGCGCCGTAGGTGCACAGCGCCACTCCGCCATATTCCGCCGCTCCGCCGCCGCCGCTGACGGCCGCCCGCTCCCGTCAGTGTGCTTTTGACATCGGCCGACGCAGACGCGCACCGCGCAGCGCAGCGAACGCTTTTATTTATAGTTTTCAATCGGATAGAGCCGCGTGACGCCCCTGAACCCCTGTGCTAAGCCGGGACGCGTTAAATATGAGTATTGCCGCCCTGATCCAAGCCGCCGAATACATCGAGAGGCGGGACAGAGGTGAATTGGCTTTCCTTTGTTTGAGTTGTCAATCGAGTGCACCGCTCGCACACGTCAACATGGCTCCCGTCTATTTTTGCCGTGCGCGGCGATCAGCTGATTTTGACGGGATCGCAGTTTCCTTTGTTGCAGAGGCGGAGCACGGCTACGCGTCCAGTTTGCCGGTGTACGAGGAGTCGCGCGTCGGCGGGGGCAGGCGGCCCAAGACGAAAAAGTCCCAGGGCAGCAGGTGAGCGGCGGACGGTGGCAGTGTAGTGTGCCTTGTGGACGAGTGGACGAGTGGACGAGTGGACGAGTGGTTGATGACGCGAGTGCCGAGTGCCCGATGTCGTTTGTTGTGAAACAGTGGCGCCGAGTGTGTTACAATGTCTGCTTTTCTGTTCCAGGACGACTCATAACGAGTTGGAAAAGAACAGGTCAGTTGTTGTTTATATTAAACGCGAGTGGGGTCGGGCGGCGCGGCGACCTTGCCACGCGCCCCCCTCCCTCGCCAGGGGAGAGTGCATGTGAGGAGGCGCTCGGCGCTCCTAACCCATTTGGCAAGCCCACTCCTGGAGCAGCCGCCTCGCGCGCCCAGCACGTCGCTCCCACAGCCCGACCCTTTCTCGTTCGCGATTCGCCCCCCCGAACCGTGGTGAATGTATCCGTGGTCGCGACTATTCGATACCTCTTCTGTCGGTCCCGACTGCTAACTAGGTAGGAAGTAGGTTATAAGCACGTCCCTGCAATTTTAGATTGTTACACGCCGTTTGGCCGCAGCCGCCGCCGGTGAAACGCTGTCCCCCTTTGCAGCCCATTAACTTTCGTTTGTGTAGCATTTGCCTCGCTGTTTCGTGTTATATTTACACGTTTTTAATAATTTAATGTACCTTGTATTCTATTAGAAGAAACTATCGAGCTATAAGACAGTCTATTTTATTCGCTGTGAAATGGTTCGTAATTTACATAATAACAGATAACAGCCGCTGACGGTTCTTTATCGCGATTTTGTTTTTTTTTTTAGTTTCACTTTATTTTCGCCGTATAATCAATCTGAGTATGTAGTCCAAAGAGTATTCTCATTGTCTTCACTTGCTATGATATATACTGAATGGTGAATACGAAAATTGATTCGATAAGGGCCGTATTGATACGTTTTCTGGGAAATCAGTCTGCTACAATCGAGAGTTCCGTTACGTCTCCCACACAAATGCATCATCTGAATTTAATATGAGATTATATAATTTAAGTACGGAAGGTGAAGTTAATGAAGTAATTTATAATACACATGTTATTTATTTTAATGGGTTCAAAACTCCAACAAGACGTCCAATTACGTGCCTGATTGAAAGCAAATTAGATGATGCTTTATTGGTTCTTAATTAGGTTTTAATTGGTACTTGGTTATAGGGGAACGAGTTAACCGGATATAATTTGTGATAACTAATGGGCTTATGAATTCGTACAGAAATTTGTAACAACTCCGTATTAGATATTCATTTGAAACGGGGGTATATTTGAATTTTTATTATTTGGTATAAACTACATAATTGCGGCCCCAAGCTGAACAAAGGCTAAAGGAAAACACGAAGCTTGTGTCAGTATGACACGGTTTTACCTACGTACAAGATTCTTTTAAACATCGATCTTAATTTCATCCATTTGTTACATTATATATATAATAAATAACATAATATACTATGCATTGAATTAAAAACTAATGATTAAAATTTTTTTCATTAAATCATTATTGAATCGTTGGACGAATATATTCAACTAAAGGTTATTTCGTACTTTCAAATAATCTTCTGACCCTTTACAATCAATGAATTATTAGTGCAGTCGCAACTTTATCGGTTCTATTAAATTAAAATCGCAAACTAAATGAATTTAACCAGTTTCAGGTTAAAGACATTTATTTCTCACAAAAGAATATACACTTAAATCGTGTTAAAGAATACAATACTTCAAATATATATATGACACAAACAAATAGTTTGTTTAAGAATAGAACAGTATTCCAGTGGTGTTAAGTGACAACCGCCGCCAATGGGCATATACTCAAGCTCTTCTCTGATGACGTGATACTTTACCGAAGGAGCCTGTCCATTCGTACACCACCAGTAGCTGTTGTGTGGTCCTATCACAGTAGTAAAATCAAGCCTATTTGGACAAAGACATTCTTAGTGGTGCATTTGCTAACAAGAAATGTGTTCAAGCAAGCAACCTCGACCGTCCGATACAACAGTCATTGAGATTTTTTTAGTAAAATTATATTCACTGAGTTACTTCAGACACTCTTTGTTTTATTTATTCATTTGCTTCTTTTACAGCAGTGATAATCAGTGACTATCTGATTTGTATATATTTTTTTCTAAATAAATAAATACTTCAGACATTTTTTCGTTTTTGTTTGTAAATATCCGTTTATCCATATTTATTTCGTTTTTTAAAATGGAAAATTTGGTAATTGAATTAAACGAATAATAACACAGAATATTTCAAAACCAATTATTTTTATTGGGAAAACATTCATAATTTTTTTTTCACCCATTTAATTCTTTAGCCCAACCTACTCATTAGCTATCAAAATACAAGTGCCAACAACAACCCATACTGTTGTGTGTAATTCTAGAACTACCTCTCTAGCTATGATACACTTCGCTAAAACAAGAACGCGTTGTGCTGTTAGTTTGTGTGGCATTCATTGTTTAAATCATTAACTTTGAACGATGTTATGACTAAAGTCGTGTCATTCACCAAAGTGGGGCATCTTAAGTAGATCTATGAGCCGCATGCCAGTTGCCGGTCGAGCTAAGCATACAACTGAGCACTGTTCACTTGTTCACATCTCCGTTGCGGCTAATTTGGCCAAAAGTAATCCCGCCGCCTTTGTATACGTATGAATGAGTCGCTTATGCGCCTACTGTCTATGAGTAGGAAACCGGCCGATGCGCGGTTCTGTATCACCGCGAGACAGCGCTCCCGCCGCCGCCGGCCGATAGTCCGCTTGCCGCTTGTCAAATCAATTGGTCGTGACCACTAGCAGAATACTTAATTATGTTCAATGATATCACGTGACAGTTCAGTAGGCGCGGCCTTGACCTGTCCAATGAGCGGGACGGTGGCATTTTCACTACGTTACGAAAACGCGCCGACTGTGCATAACATTTATATTGATGAATAAGTCGCGCGCACTCGCAAAATAAAAAAAATAATAATTTCGTAAGCGAAATTGCGTTTCGCTGGGTTCAGCATTTCGGCAAGACTCGCTATATGACGCTACGGAGGAACAATAAGCTGCATGTCAAATACCCGATTGTTAGCGCAGTCTGATGGATCTGGAATGGTGTGTCGAATGTATTATTTGGGGTACAATGACACAAAGGTGACCCCCTTACAACTGCAGGTCACTTCAAAAGAACCTTTCGCATTTGAAACTGTGTAACATTCATATGATTGTTTCTAATTGTGGGCTCATTCTCATCATGCTCAATCACGACAGTGCTCGTCCAACAGTCACTGTTGGTTTTATTAAATAACAAGGGAAAGAGGTCATGTGTGCTGAAATCCTGGCATTTTCGGGCTCGTAGTCTTATTAAAGACGATTTACGTCTCATGCGCACAAGTATAACATTACGCATCTATGAAATTCTTAAGGGTATATGAAAGACAATCCTTTTTTGACAGTGTCGCGTTAAACTTCTTATTTTGCTTAGTCGTATGCTAATGTTTCTTAATCAAATGTATGGGCAGTGAACAAATATATATCTTGATTGTTTCTTGTATTTTCCCGATTGTTATAACACATTATAAATTAAACTATTTTTACGGATTTATCACGTTTATTTTAATTGTAATTCCCGACGTTTCGAATCAATTAGGTCCTTCTGCATAGATCGAACACTTATTTAATAATTCAAAACTGACAGTAGCCCGAGTTAACTATGCGGTTCAGACGTCCAACGTCTTAGTTCGTCCCGTGACCATGAAAGCTGTAATGGGTTCGAAACATCGGCAATTAAAATTAACATTTAATAGGTTCATTTACAAAATATACCTTATTGACGTTGCCAACTTGTCTTCAACACTGTTGCATTGGAATAAAAACAAAAAACAATTAATAAGAAATATTAGACTCAACCTATCTCAGAGGAATCATGCTACAAGGCCGCTTTAGGTGATAAACCGACAAACAGCCTATAACTTACCGAAATGCGCAGACATGAAGTCACCCCAGTTTCCGCTTTATTTTGCGGTTTAGGAGCTTACCTACAGTTCGGCAGTTAGCCGGCTGCGTGCCCTACGATCCGTTTGTTTGTTGCACCCGCATGAGGCAAATCCGATTATATCTATTAAACTGTTGCAGTTGCAGCGGGTAGGTGCTGCGCTATATTTGCATTACTGTTTAAGAACTGCTGCTTTACGTAATACTCTCAGCTCAATCGATTGCACTGTGGCATTGATTCATTAGCAAGTTGTTCTTCGCTGTTTCATCATGATATCAGTGCAATCGTGTTACTAACCTGACCCAACGTTGCATATGCTTGCACTTTATTGACACAAATCTTTTATATATAAAAATGAATCGCTGAATGTGTTGCTAAGCGCAAATCTAGAGAACGGCTGAACCGATTTCGCTAATTATTTTTTTTATAATACTCCTTGAAGTACGAGGATGGTTCTTACGGAGAGAAAAATTTTAAAAAATTAATAAAAAGATTCGTAATAATACTTAAAAGTTAATTTGAACTTTAATACCATACCATAAAGTTTAAGTGTTTAGTTGTTCCGTGAAGTCAAAACAAGTGAGTGACTGTAGTAAAATGTCACTTGAAATATAAACGTCTCTTTGCTGTACATCACACATAGTATAAAACAAATTCACACGTTGCAGTTTTTTTTACTAAATAGAGTGATTCAAAAGGAAGGTTTATATGTATAATACATTGCACCCGTGCGAAGCCGGGGCGGGTCGCTAGTTTACTTGATAAAAATACTATAAATAATAGTAGGGAGAATCAAAATATTCTTGTTAGTATTTTTATAACGCGTAAATGATATACTCTGAAGTGTAACGAGTAGATGAGGCGTGGCAGTGAGCAAGAAAATAACCACAGTTACCCACAATTAGGCATTGTTAATCGATATCTAGAAACCGGTCGAAAGTTTTGCCGCGTGCGAATGTTGGAACCCGACAATGATAGTTGCGGTGGGCTGCAGCCGCCAGCTCGGCACACCGGGTGGTACCCACGTTTACCTCATTTCTCGGACAGACCGATTGTTCGTTTGGCAAATAGGCCTGGATGGAAATTATGATGCTACAAGAGGAACGGTGCTATTTGTCTAATTAGCGCGATGTCAGTCCATGTTTTGGCTTTCTTACTAAGTTGCGCTGTATCCACTAGGAATGTAATAAGTGATTTATAATTTGAATAGCCATATCACTAGATGCTGTTGGGATTTGTATCACTAAAGTTATTTTGATGTCTTTGCTACACCTACTGTTTATTAAAATTGAGACGATA